AAATAATTATTTTATTTTATTTTTAAAAAGAATAGATTATTTTTCAAGACAATGAGGTCACTTACACACAAAACGTATAAAATAAAGATCCTGAACGGAAATATCACTATTTATTAAAACAAACTATTTTTCAAGAAGACGATGTCACTTACCTAAAATATTTGAAAGGGAACTTCCGATAAAAATTTGGCTAGGGAGAGGAGCTCACTGTATTTTGACTAGAAAGAGAAAGATTTCAGAAGTTTTCTAGGGTGGAAGTCTATTTAAACTCTTACGATACCTTATTATAATATTTTATTAAGTGACACCTCATAAACGAGGTGTAACCGTTACAATACCCCTTATATGCTTAAAGCCCACGTCCACTTGACCTAACAAGGCACGAGCAAACAAAATAAACTTAACCAAAAGATTTTGAAAATAGTGATGGTCCCTAAGGACCATCATGCTCATATAAACCATCACTTATTAAAAGTTTCTTTCCTTTTTTTTTTTTTTTTTTTGAAATTTTATAATTATTACATATTAATACTTGATTTTGAAAAAAAAAAAAATCCATCAAAAAATTTCACCAACATATTCCTTTAAAAACAAGTGTATTAAACAATGGGAAAAGATTATATAGAGTTGAGGCTCCAAACAATTAAATTAGAACCTACCTCAAAAAATTCCCTAAAAGATGTTGTTTTGATGCCCAAATATCCTCAAAGTGATCATCTCGACATCAAGATACATGGACACGAGAAAAAAATAGATTTCAAGTTTTGGAAATAGTGTATTTTGTAACACATTTTTGGACCGTCAATTTCAAGATTTTCAAGTTTTCATAGATCTGTCAATCTAAACTATTTTTGAAGCTTTAAATTTATAAATAACAATGAAATATATTCTAAGGCTATCACAAAGATTTTCAGTATTGAAACCACTTTTCTCAATACTATTTGAAGGTAAGCTCTAATTTGATTATTTAGATCATGGGCTCCATACAAATCGCACCCTTCAAAAATAAATGAATAGTATTTACCCAAAAATAGCTCAATAGTTACCAAAAGAATAATATCTCAAAACAACTTTATATCTCAAGACGCACAACCTGCTGAAAAATCTTCTTTTCTCTAAACCCAGAGCATCATTGTGAAAGAGCAAGAGAGTGGTTAAGTGGTGATTAAGATTTAGCAACCAGGAATTATATGTGAGACTCAAGTATATATGGATTCGTATAAACATTTGGTTGCTTTCAATTATATGTGAGACTCAAGTATATATGGATTCGTATAAACATTTGGTTGCTTTCTTGTATATGGAAGTTTGATTAATTTTATATTTTTTATTTTTTGTTGGTATATACAATACAACATTTTGATTGGATTTGATATGAAAGGGATGTGGGAAATTAAATTCACCTTTTTTTTCATCCTTAGACAAATAAAAAATACAACAACAAAAGGATAATAGTTATAGTTGCAAATCAAGTTGAAGAAGCTATCTTCTTTTTTTCACAAAATAATTCTTTAAAAAACACCAAGTCTCTTTTATGGGACGTCCCCCTTCTCTTTTTAGAACAAGCATCTAAAAAAGAAAAATAATCGAGTACATAAAAGACATGGTTTTTATGAGTCCGTGTCGAAACCTTTTTGACCTAATATTTAAGAACATGTAATCTCTAACACAGAGATCATGAATATGAACTAAATAAATAAAAATTAAAAATAATAATTTTATTAAAAATATATTTAAATAATTAATTTTAATTATTTTTAAATAGACCAGCTATCTGCGTCCACCTCCGAGATAGATGCTTTATACCTCTGGGACCACGAATGTAAAAATACAATCCGGCCGCATGAAACAAATTTTCATACATAATTATTCCAAAGGTACGCTCTCTCTCTCTCTACATTAATCTCTCTCTCTCTCCCCAATCAAGTTAACTTCATCCTACTTAACTCCCTCTCTTGCGCCCATCTATTTTGTCTCGCTTTATGCCCACTATTCTAAGAATTACTTTTTTCGCACGTCTGTCGCTATATCAAACAAAACAAAGAATATATTTAAACCCCACCTAGGATACTAATTAAAAATCCTTTTTACACTTACATAAAAATATCTCAAAAAAATAAATACCTCTAAAATAAATAAATAAAACTAAATAAGCATATCCATGGACCTGAAAATTCCTCACAAAAAATTTAGAAAAATAAATTCAAAATTCTAGCCAATATCTCAAATTTCTTTAATGCGGTTGCATTAGGATCATTGTTTTACATTTTTGGATTTTCATGTTTTAATTAACGGCAATCATATATTGAGATTATTTTTTCTTCTTCTTCTAACAATAACCTTATGGGATTTTTCTACAAAGATGGTATTTATCTTTTATATGGGGAGGTCATAATCATTCTCACTCATTAGATGTCAGATTAGACGATTTGGTGTGAGCTGCAAGTTGATTTATTTTTATTTTTTTTAACTTTGTGTCTATTCAAGAGTTAAAATTTAAGAGACAAAAATGATTGTACTTCCATGTACAAAAGATAAATGATCTCTTTATAAACAATCTCTATATAATAATTACAAATTATTTTTTTATCTTGGGTTATCTTTACATAAAAGCTTTGGCCGTTCTATTTTTTTTAAGTTAACCATGAAATATTCATGATTATATAACTTACCTAATTCTTGGCTTTTCATATTTTTGACAGAATCTTTTGTCTTTTTTTAAAAAAAAAAACCAATATTTTACAAAATACCAATAATTTCAGCTTTGAAAAAGTGGATGGTCATAGAATGTGCAGTTTGTATAGGGACGAGGTACAAACAATCAAAGTAAAGTACACCTTCAAATAGTATTGAGAAATGTGATTTCAATACGGAAAATCTTTATGGTAGCCTTAAAATAGATTTTCCATCTTTACTTATAAATTTGAAAGCTTAAAAAATAGTGAAGATCAAGCGGATCTATAAAAACTTAAAAACATTGAAAATTGATAGTCAACAAATACATTACAAGATGTACTATTTCTAAAATTTGAAATCTATTTTTTTTTTATGTCCATATGCATCTTGATGTCAAGATGATCAATTCGAGGATATTTAAACATCAAAACAATATGTTATAGTAAAAAAATTAATTCGAGGATATTTAAACATCAAAACAATATGTTATAGTAAAAAAATTTAGGCGGGCTCTAATTTGATTGTTTAGAGCCTCGGCTCTATATAAACTTTTTCCTAATGTTAATCACGAAAGTTTTGGTTTATGATCACATTTTGTAAATTAACTAGTGAAACAAGTATTATGAAAAATAAAAGAGCCTAGGCTTAGGCTCAATTCCTACTAAGGGCTGGCCCTCTCCCCACTTATTTTAGAAAAAAAAAAAAAAGGCAAGTATTTTAAGACTATCAAAATACCAATAATTTTAGGTTTTAAAAAACTTCTACGCCTACCCTATTATAAAAATGTAAGGTAGGTATATCATTACAAATAGAAAGTAGACCAATCAAATCGTACACGTGGACACTACCAAATCAGTCCTCCAATTTCCACACTTTCCACTTCCTTAATAATCATATGGACCCATATCCCGACCACGCACTCCTCTTCCTCTTGCTTCTCTTTAATCCTCTCTCTCTCTCTCTCTAACGGCGCGCTCTTGTTTCTCTTTTATCCTCTCTCCCTGACGGCGTATGCTCCCTTGCTTCTCTGTTCTCCCTTCTCTCAAACACGCCGACATCACAGTTCATTCATTATCATTTCTCAATTAATTGGAACTATTTATAGAACTTTACGTATTTTTCAATTAATTAGGATTTTTTATGTCTATTAAAAGTCAAATAATTGGGATTTTTTATCTGTCTTTTTGTTTTTATTAAGGACCATACACGCTATTAAAACCATATCTTTTAGAGGAAAGGCTTCTACACTTTTTTACAGCATAGAATAATTATCATTATCATATACTTACCATCCTGCAGTCTAATTTTGATAAAAAAAAGCCACTCACCGTTTGATCTTAGATCCTACATCTTTTTAGTATTTTATTTTTAATATTTTTTATATAAATTGTATGAATACAAAATTTGATACGTGTTATTTTCTCATTGAGACGCACCTATAAAAAATATTAAAAATAATTTTTTTATAAAATATAATGACTAAAATACCTCTTGAAGCTTTCAAAGGTATTTTGGTCATTTTATTTTGCTAGTGCGAGTTTAATAAAAGATTGAACGATTAAAATTTAGTGTCAAAATAGTTTATAAAAAAAATTAAAAGTAAAGTAGTGTAGAGACGTGATATTGTGATGGGGGCAATCTTAGCCCTCCATTCAAAATAGAAAGTTGGATAAGGGGAAGTATATAAGTTTTATGCTGTTGGAGAAGCATAGAAAGCTTGCCCATGTTTCAAGCTAAAAAACAAATTGGTGACTAAGATCGGGCGTCACAAAAATTTGTATGGATTGGTAAATTGACATCCCAGATCAGCAGTTTACTCTGCAGAAAAAATAGTGAATCGAAAAAAAAAACATGTGCAAAATCACTAAACCAATAAAAAACTAGTCTAAATCGATGTATAGGTGTTTTTATTGTAGCAAAATGATATTTTATTGCAGCGAATCGTCAATTCTCTTCTAGATCGAACAATTTTCTATATATTGACATGGGATGACCGATTCTTGGGCTGGACTAGGCGATTACATGATGACCTGACATATTTTAAATCGCTGTAAGTTCTCGTATCTTTTTCCACTATTTTCAACTGTCATTTTGGCTCTATCTCTTGACATTGAAATTCTTATTTTTTCTCACTACTTCCAATTATGTATTTTTGAGCCTTAAACCAGCGTTGTACTTATTTTGGGCCTCAAACCAGCGTTGCTCTAATAAGTACGGGTCTGGCCCGAGCCGGCCCTAAAAGAATAAAGCCAAGCAAGGCCAAAGACGGGCCCAGCCCATTGCCAAACTTATTCCGTCTTCTCTTTTACTCTTTCTTCGTCGTTTTCTCTCTTGCCGTCTACGAGCCTATCGCCTCTCTCTTTCAGCGATGCGTATTTCTCTTTCTTTATGTTAGCTTCTATTTATTTCCTCATAAATATTTCTCTTTCTTCCAGCTCACTCTGGAGCGAGAAATATCCTTCGGGTTTCCTCCTTATTTTGTCTACTTTCTATTATATCTCTCCTCCAATTCACTCTCTCTCTCCTCCTTATACTTCTGACCTAATTCTGCATTTGCAAACGCCAGGCTCATACCATAACCGGAAAATCTTCCACGACTCTCCCCCTGTAACTTTTGCCCTACCGTTTTCACCCGGAAATTTGAGATTTTCCGGCAGTCTCTCCAGAAAAATGGAGTACTACTCCTCGTGCCCTGATTCGACCAATTCATCCCCTAGATCTAGAGAGATAGACTGCGAAAACCAGGGGTGGGAAGAACCAGCAAGCTACAAGGTCAAGTTCATGTGCAGCTATGGTGGAAAGATCCATCCTCGACCACACGATAACCAGCTAACCTATGTCGGTGGAGACACGAAGATCCTCGCCATTGATCGGAACATCAAGTTCGCTGCCATGATGGCCAAGCTAGCAACCCTGTGGGACACAGAGGTTTCTTTCAAGTACCAGCTCCCAGGTGAGGATCTCGATGCCCTAATCTCTGTAACAAACGATGAGGATCTTGAGCACATGATGGCTGAGTACGATCGCCTCTATAGAAGCTCCAACAGGCCTGCTCGTTTGAGGTTGTTCCTTTTTCCGGCCATTTCTCCTGCAACGACGGCCGGAATGGCTGCCGGAGATCAGCAACCCGAGCAGCAATGGTTCGTTGATGCTCTGAATTCAGGCCGTGTTCAGCCTTCGAAGCTGGAATCTTCACCTGGAAACCCTGACTTCCTCTTTGGCCTTGAAAAGAGCTCTGCAAATTTATCTAGTGCCACAAATGAATCTCCTTTATCGAACCAGAGCTCGATCGAGACCAGAGAGTCCTTTGCAGAGTCTAGAAAAGACGAGAATCAGAACCAGAGCCAGATTCCAGAGCAACTAGTCCTTCAAAATCCTAACCCTAACCAAGTCGATATTCAACGGCAGATCCTTGAATTTCAAAGGTTCCAGCTTCAAGAACAACAGCAACAACAACAACAACAACAATCAGCGATATATCAGCGAAGACAGCAAGAAGAAACGCTAGCGAGTGCCGGAAACTTTCCGGCAAGGATTCCGGCGGCCTCCGCCGACTTTTACATGCAGAAACCGCCGGAAAAGGCCCGTTACGAGCAGGTACCGGCGGGGCCGCCCATGACGGGCTATTGGCCTGTTCCTGAGAGACATCTGGCGGCTGCAAACGAGACGCCGGTTTATCTGGTTCCCTCCGGTTTTTCAGCAGGATCACGGCCGGTTCCGACTCAGACCGGTCAGCTGGGGCAGGGATACTACACGATGCCTAGGGTTATGGCTACGACAGGAGGGTACGTCACAGAGCCGTATAGGGAACCGTATAAAGATACCGTTGTGTATGGTTCAGGGCCAAAGGGGGTTGTGTATGGTGAAGGGGCTGGGAGGGCGAGCACGGACGCAGCGACTGTGTATCATCAGCAGGTGGCGTATGATAGTACTGGGAGGGCGGTGTATTACACGGCACCGGCGCCGGCGCCGGCGCCGGCGCCGTCACCGGCTCCGGCTGTCCCTACGTATACAAATCTGACGTCTGGTCCGAGCGTGGAGGTGCCCAAGGTAGCTAAGACTTCCCCCCAGTCCCCTTCTTGACATGGTTTTCACACACACAATCTCTCTCTAGCTTCTCTCTCTATATCACTCTCTCTAGCTTCTCTCTCTGTATCACTCCTCTCTTTCTCTCTCTGTCACTTTAAGCTCGGTCTATTGTAGATATGTAATTAATGGATTACTGTTTGCGTGATATATATACATAACATGCGGCCAATATATGTGGATACATAGATGGCGGGATACTGCTTCTCGAATTAAATTTTACTTTTAGATGGTTTGGTTACATGCCATGATTTCAATTTGCAGAGATGGAATTTTGTTTGCCTTGGAAGTATAGAATTAAAGTGCACCTCTAAAATCTTTCCAAAAGAGTTACTTTGATGTTTGGGAAAACATTTTATTGATGATATGGACATCACGATATATAAACATAGACAAAAAAAAAAAGAGATTTCAAGTCTTAAAAATAATATATCTGGCTAAAACTTTATAAATTGGATTTCCCCAAGAAATATCTTCCCTTCTTGAACTTCTGTTTTTCCTCTCCACTCATTTGCCTTATCAGAACTCATCTTACCTGTGATTTGTATCTCACTTTATCTGTGATCTAATACATAAAGGACTTAGGTTTTCACTGATTTGGTTACCATTTTTAGATCAAACTAACCTCACAAATTGGAATCTCACTGAATAAGATTCTTTTACTTCTTTTTCCTCTCTCCTACCATAATAGAATCTCTCCTTATACAAGAATTATCTCCTTATAACAATATTTCCTTGCACATATGGGATTGAGAAAATTTTAAAAATTGTATTTATTTTTATTTTTAATGAAATTTGTTACATTAAAATTTAAATTTATAAAATTGAAAATAATGTATCCTTGTATGACGGAGTGCTTCCAAATACATTTTCTCAAATTTTATAAGATGAAAATAAATTCTTATAAGTACATACTCACCACACGCTAGTTACCACTTTGTGGTTTCCTCTCCTATTGACCCCACTTAGTGACATTTTCAAATAATTAGCTCTTAAACTATTTAAAAAAACGGACAGGGGCTTGACTTCCCCACTTAATTACCAAAAAAAAAAAAAAAAAGCGAATATTTGTTAGGAATAGGGTGGCATATTTAAATTAATGGTTAGGTTGGCATGGTATGGTAGGTGAGTTGCTTGAATTCCAGGTCATGTTCAATGCAAGTTGAAAATTCCCACTTTTTTTCTTGATTTGAGCCGTATATTCTCTCCACTTGTGCAAAATAAGTCACATATTTCCCAGTCGACGGATGCTTTGTCCCCCTCCACTCTTACATTCATGAATGATACCCTCTCTATCATTCAACCCTAGACTTTATGAACTCATGCTGATACACACGCATCATATGTACACTATTGCGACCCTTCACACCAGTGCCAGGAACTTCAAAATTTTTTACAATAAAACCATTAACTTTTAGTATAAAGAGGCTGTTTGTGGTGGAGGGCATATGGCTTAATAGACCAGAATAAAATCCCTTGAACTTAATGGCGCACACTCCAAGTTGTCATTAAGCCAGTTAAGATTGATTGGTTGTGATTTTCATGTATTAAAAGCAAATGGTTCATTTTATATAATTTAATATTTTAATATTAAAAGTCATTGATAATTTAATATTTTAATATTAAAAGTCATTGATGAGTTGACAAGTCTGGATTCAGTGAGAATTGAGACCAATCACTCACCCGTTCTGATTCACACCATGGAAAATCTCCATGCTACCCACCCATTCTAATTCCCAAGTTGTGCGTGTGTGTGTGTTTTTTTTCGGGCTTTTGTGAGACCAATAATTCGCCTCGGTCTATATTGACGCTTCCCCAAATCGTTCGATCAATGTAAAAAATGATCCTAAATTGATTACAAGCCAAGCTTAGCAACTCAAATTTTCACTTTTCCCCTGCTTTTTCATCAAATATTGTTGTATTACGGACCTTAAAATACGGATCTGCTAATCCATCAATTTCTCCCTGAAACTCAACCAAAAAAACTCAAATTTTGTTTCAAATTATTGGTGATTGAGCTCTCTGAGAAGGCCTTGTGGAAATTTTATGATAAAATAAAAATTTTGAAGAGATCAAGTCTAAAATTTTGGGTTCTTCATCATGCACGCTCAAATCTTAGTATTAACGAGTTCTAATAACTTAATCAAAATATGCTGCACATTCATCAAACTTTCCACAATGGACTTGTGTGATGTATAGAATTTTAATTTTTTTCTATTTAAAGTTATAGTTCAACCCGGGGAATCAATACAAGTTTGCTGCTGGGTCACCAAGTGAACTCGGATGGATTAAAACCTTGCTTTTAATTAAAAGTCCTCCAATTTAGGATAGGGGGGCTAACTGTTGGAAATATGGCCTATCGGATCCTTTTATTTCGGGAATTTATTTTTCAATAATGGTACAAAAGTTATATTGTATAGTATATGTGAAATTTTATGTGGTTGACATGAGGCAATGTCATATACTAAGATCCATTTTGGAGCTTTTAAAGGACGTTGCACTAAAAGGAAAATCCGGTATCACTTGAGGGAAAATCCAGTGTTGTGTTTGGATTCTTTGTAAGAATTGTTTTTTTTTTATATATTACAGATGTACAAAATTATTTAATTTCTAAATATCTTTTTTCAGATTTTTTTTTTGTCCAAGATCAATAATTTTATTATGACTTACAGAAAAGAGATTACATCATCAGAAACTAAAAGGCTATGAATAGAATTCCCCTTTTAGCAAGGGTATTGGCAATAGCGTTAGCCTCCCTGTAAATATGAGCAAATAACACCATTACATTATCAACCAAATCCATCATCTCTAGCCACAAAGCTTGAAGTTCCCAAGGGACTCTCTGCTCCTTCTTGCACCATCTGATTACATGCAAAGAATCACCTTCGATCGTGCAACTAATCCCCATATTCTTACTACTGAAAATTTTGAGACTACACAGCAAGGCACTTAATTCTGAAAAATTAGCCGTTGCAAAACCAATTGGACGACATATGATAATATAACATTGCCAAAGCAGTCTCGCAAAAGATCACTTATTCTTGCCAGCCCCGGATTGCCCAAAGAACTTCCATCGAAATTAAGCTTTAGGCTTCCTTGACATGGAGCAATCCAAATACTCCTAGGCCTTGATTTTACAGAGCCAAGAAAAAACAAATTTTGTAAATTAGCCATTACATCCACCTTGGATATTCCCCGCCCTTCTCTCTTCACTGACAACCAAGACTAGATGGAACATTTGCAAATATGAAGAATCAAATTGTAGGAATGCTTGGATGACATCCTATTATGTGAGTCATTAGTGTACTAATGATATGTTTAGCTCATTATATAGGATTAACAGTTTGGTAATAACTTGTTAATCCTAATCGGTTGTACTTAAAGAAATTAAGGTTGGAGTTATACTTAGATCTTAACTCTTATATATAAAAGATGGTTGTCTATAAAAAGAGGTTTACCCCTCAAGTAATTTAGTGAGAATGATGGAACATTGGTGAATGTGATTCACTAAGAGACTTTCAAGGTAGCCTGTCACCGGATGGCTTGGTCTATAGGTTTTGGTATGAAACTTTAAATCCCTCGTATGATTTAATAACAGATCCGAATAAGTTGTTTATCGTTTTTATTTTATTTATTTATTTATTTTCATTATTGAGACTGACACTAACCTACCCTTCCATTAAAAAACATGCCAAAGTCAAGCCCAGGCTTGGGCCACTACAGATTTGGCATGGCTTGGCCATTTTATTTTTTGTTTTTTTTTTGTTTCCTCATTGGATCTATTAGACCTGCCTAGCCTAACAGGCAACACAGGGCAACTTAGGCTCAAGCAAGTCCAAGCCTAGGCTAGCCCAGCTGAGGCCCAAGTTGCCAGTCCTCCTCCAATCCAACTATCAGACTCAAACTCGCCTCAGTCTGACAACCAGTAATTGCAGCTTGGACACTCGGTGGGTCGAAGCCCGAGTCCGCCTTGTAAAGACGGTACCAAGTCATACCAAGGATCAAAAGAAATGTAGCCAAACTCATTTTAAACGCGACTCGACAATTACTGTCTACTCAACACAGCCTTCATGTACACAAGGGTGGCTCTTAATCATCCATCTTATTATTTCCTTTATCGTTTATTACGAAGCTGTTACCTCAACTCCCCATTATTCTTCTCTCTATCGGGAAACGTGTACACTCGTCCGGATTAAGGAGGACAGGTTTTTTCTCTTTAGGTTTCTAAGAATGAAGACTGCACACGAATAATTTAATGGAAAATTGTTTCATGCGGGCTGGATCGCAAAGTGTAAAGTACTTATCTCAAAGATGATTCTATTTAAAAATAATGAAAACTAACAGTCTAAATATTTTTTTATTAGAATGATTATTTCTAGTCTTTAAAATTTATTCATTTTTTTATATTCATGATCTAAATGTTAGAAATTACATGTTTTTAAAAATTAATTCCTAAAATCCATCTCAAAAATAAATTTATTAAGAGGCCCGTATTTCTACACATGCGGGCTTGGCCGCATAGAAACTGAGTCCTAATTTAATTGAAATGGCCTAATCAAAGAAAAATATTTGATTTTCTACTCAAAGGAAAATCTTTTATTTTATAAAAGATAAAGTGAGTTTGCTAAGTCATGTTCATCGTGGTTTTTAATGGTTTTCAAGAGATTGAGGATTTGACCTCTTTTATTTTTGGGTAAGTTAATGGGGGGAGGTTCCCTACCCGTATTTTCATTAATAAAAAATCAAAAAGAAATAACTCATTATTTTACAACCCTACACCAGATCACGAAATCAAACAAAAGAAATAAAGTTTAATGGGCGAGAGCACCAAATAATACCTTCAGAACTATACGAGGCTCTCTCAGCAATTGCATCAATTACCATGTTGGCTTCACGAAAGACGCGGGAAATGGTGAAAGAAAGACTAATGCGATCTTGCTGAGAAATATTTGTTTTTTATTTTTCTTCTTTTCACCCATTTTTTTTTTTTTTTTTCTTTTTGGCAAAGATCACTTAACACTAATTTGATTACAATAACTCTTGCTTCAAAGAAAATAAAAATAACAAATCCAAGATCTTAAAAACTTTGATGCCATTAAACCAATTTTCTTTAAACAAAGAAAATATCCACAATTATTATGCCTCTTATGCTTGAGAATATAAAGATAATATAATTAAATATGACAAGAAACAAAAAGATAGTGCAGAAGATTACTTCAACCGGGCTTATTACACTCTATA